TTCAAACATATATTTTATTCAAAAATAAAAACATCATCGCTTTCTAAAAATCACATAAAGTCATATTATAACATCGATTGAGATAAAGAATAAAATGAAATTTCACGATGTACCTCGCTGCATTGTGCGAGTACGCTTCTAGTATATATATATATATATATATATATAAGAAATATGTTATGAGAAGGAGACTTAAGGTTAAAAATTATAAGAAGAGAATTGAATATTTGATCATCTTTAATCTCAAACACATCCATGAATCATGCTTGATACGGAGATTGATATGGTGCATCTCATTCTAATATGCATCCAATGATGAAGATCTCTTCTAATGTTTTTCATCTTAACTATCCTTCTTACACGATCCTTCATGTGTGTGTGTGTATATATAGGTCCATTCAAGTAGGAACTGATTAGTTTGTAATAACCGTGAGATCCAATCTCAATTACAAATCAATGGTTAAATTAGAAAATTAGTAATTATGGTAATTTGAGTTATAATTGGAGGGCATTTTAGATATTTTAAAAACTTCTCTCTCCGACCTCCAACCTCGGATCTCCGACCTCCGGTGAACATTATTTCGGCCGGTACCAAGTAATCACAAAGATACACAACGTGATACTCATTGTGATGTCACTGTGATACCATTGTGATACCAACTATGATACTAACCCAAACCTTAAAAACAAAATCAAATCCATAATCTAAATTTAAGAGACACATACAGACAATCCACGTTGTGATACCAAAAATACATACAAGATGCACTGTGATACTCAATGTAGTACCAATTGGGGTACCACTGTGATACCAACTATGATATCACTCACACCAACTATATTACCACTTGATACTAAACCTTAATATACAACATTTTCGATTTCTAGCCAACAATTTTACAAGGTTTTACAAGATGTGTAGGGGAGAGAGCAAACAAACTTGTTAGTTTTACACAGAGAATGTAATGAAAAGTTATGTATTAGATTTCTAGTTTAGTCTACACAAATGACAAGTTTTAAAAGAGAGAAACAAAAAAGGGGGTTATTT